GTTCAGCTAGGAAATTAGAAACATACTACAAGATAGCTATAAAAACACTGCAATGGGTGTACTTTTGGATAGTAATGAAAATTTCAAAGATGAGTTAGAATAGAAAGAATTTTGATATATGAAAGCATCAAACTGCACTCCATGTGAAGTTGACGGCATAAGGAAAGGCTTGGTGGGAGCAAGAAGCTTAATGATGAATTGTAGCTTATTGTGCTTCCATTCTGTTCCATAAACTTTAAATTCTTCAATTCATTTAAGCTTCAGAATGCCTTCCATTTTCCCATGCCCAGGAAGAAATAATTATTTTTCACACTCCAGTGAAGGGAATAAAAACACGCAGACATTAATTGGGAAAATTTGGATTTGAATCCAGGTCTTCATATCCCATAACTTGTGATTGTAACCACTAGATTGTATTCAGTGAGTGTTTGTTAGCTTATTTGGGGCTGGCATAGAAGGAATATACGTAGGGGAAGAGAAGAGAAAGACTGAAACCCTAAAGGGTTAATATGGTGGTGGGAAGTGGGGATTATCACGTTTAAAAATCTTTAATGTATTTTAATTGATTTCAGAGAGAAAGGGAGAAAGATAGAAACATAAATGATGAGAGAGAATCATTGATGGGTTGCCTCCTGCATGCCCCCCATTGGGGATCAAACCTGTAACCACGCCCCCCATTGGGGATCAAACCCATAACCCAGGCATGTGACCTTGACCTGAATCCTACCCAGGACCCTTCAGTCTGCAGGCTGATGCTCTATCCACTGAGCCAAATCAGGGCTTAAATCTTAAATTTAAGTACAAAACCCATTTTTCATAGTTAAATATAGTACATTACTTTGAATGAGATATACAGATAGAGGTTGTAGAGAATGGTAAAATGCATTGATTATTACTTTTTAATTTTACAAAGGTTATTTATTGTCCCTCTTTATATATTTTAAGTTTGTGAAGTATATTTCTGAATATTATATTTTTTAATGATTTGGCTGAAATGTTTTAAATTACCTGAATAATATTTTAAACAAAGTTCCTTTTGTAAAATATTATTCAGCTAACCTTTAAGAAACCTTGCTTTTCAGAATATAACTCAGCATCAATTTAATTTGGAAAAAATATACTAGCTTCAACAATTAAGAAATATTATGAACTAATGAAAGATAATACATACCAAAGAACCATGTATTTTTTTTAAGTGGGAGAAGATATAAAATAGTAATATATTCCAAATGAGTATCAATGTTTATAAAGTGCATAGTGTGATGTTGACGGATAGCTGAGGTTTATATAAGCTTTAATAACAGCATGAAATCACTGCGGTATGTCATTTTTCTCATTCCATTTATGCTTATCAGAGTCTTTTAAAAAATGGTTGGCTCCTATTGCACCACAATGAAAATTCATTAGTATTTTGTAGTGATAAAACTGTTGATTTTTACCTTGAGTTGTTTGGATAGAAAAAAAAAAAACAAAAAACTAAGGTTTTTTTTTTTTTTTTTTTTTTTTTTTTTTTTTTTTTTTTTGCTATTTCCAGCAGCTATATGTGTGAAAAATCATCATAAAGAAAACAGGATTATAGAATAATAGAGTCAAAAGGAGCTCTAGAGATCAATACAAATTCTAGCTTAGTTTGTCAATGGGTGTGATCCCTAGTAGTTAGGTCAAATATTAGACTAGATGTTGTTATGTTGTGAAGGTATTTGTGGATATGATTAGCATACACAGTCATCAGACTCTGAGTAAATCAGATTACACTCTTTAATGTGGGTGGGCCTCATCCAAGCAGTAGGATAACTTAGAGAAAAGACAGAGGTTTTCTGAAGAAGAAAAAATCTTATTCAAGACCGAAACATAGAAATCCTACCTAAGTTACCAGTCTGCTGGCCTGACATTCAGAGTTTCCAGTTCTCACAAATCAACTCCATAAAATCTTATACACTAAAGGCCCAGTACATGAAATTCATGCATGGTTCATGCATGGGTAGGGTCCCAAGGCCTGGCTGACAATCAGGGCTGATCTGAGGAGTGACCAGCAAGACTATCAGAGGGTGACTGGGATTATCAGGGGGCAGCACCAGTCTGCTCACTGGCTGGCCTCAATGCTCCTTCCCCCCCATTGCCACCTCTGCGGGAGGTGGCTGGCGGGTGATCGGGGGGATGGAGGGAGCCCATGCTAGCATCCACCCTGGCTGGCCTGGGGCCTGCAGGCTGAGGGTAGCTCCTGCATTGAGCATCTGCCTCCTGGTGGTCAGTGTGCATTATAGGGACTGGTTGTTCCACCCATCTGACTTTTGGTCAATTTGCATATTAAGCTTTTATTACATAAAATTGCTTTCTCATAAAACTGATTCTGTTTCTCTGAAAAAAAAAAACAACAACTAATTAATACAGTAGGTAAACTAAAGCCAAGAGAAATTACATAGTTTTCCTAATATTACTTAATAAGTAGTGACAGAGTTGATAATAGAAAGACTAGGTATTTAGGTCATAAAATTATCTTAAAAGTTGATTATAAGCCTGGCTGGTGTCACTTAGTGGTTGAGTGTCAACCTATGAACCAGGAGGTCATGGTTCAATTTCTGGTCAAGGTACATGCCTGAGTTGCAGGCTTAATACCCAGTGTGGGGTGTGTAAGAGGCAGCCAATCAATGGTTCTCTCTCATCATTGATGTTTCTATCTCCCTCTCCCTCTCCCTTTTTCTCTGAAATCAATACAAATATACTTAAAAATTTATTATAAGCCAAGAAAGAAATTCAGAACTATCGATTTCCAGCCCTCTCTTTTCTAGTGAGTTGCATGCAGAGAAATGTAAGGTTTTATGCAAAATCCAATACATTAAAAATTCTAATACTCAAATAACATAAAACAGGGGAGGGATTACTTGTTTTCTTTACCAAAAGTTACAGTGTACAATACTTCAGAGAGGCAACTTTCCCCATCAGTTAAGGTGGTTTCATTTTTTTAAGAAAATGCTTTGCAACCTTTTAGAAATTCCTATGTTCACTCAAACAAGGTATGACATTAAAATTTCTCATGTTAAAATGTTTCCAAGATTCAGTCATTATTTCATCCTCTTGAAAACAAATATTTTATAAGGATAGAAAAGGCAACAAGAGGAAGAATATGCCTATGTCATTGTCTCAGTAAATGTAAGTCTCATATTGTGTGTGCTGATTTGCTCATAACAAGCTCTTACATTCTTTCCGGGAAGCATCACTGTGAATCTGAGTTACTGTCATTTTTTAATGGAGACAACGAGGGCTAACAGAAACTCAAGGACCTGCCCAAACTCCTCAGAGCCAAAGCATTGGGTTCCCAGGTCTGAGCTCTCATTGCCCTCTGTGATGCCCATGGAGCAAGAATATTAAGATTGACCTTAGAAAAAAAAAATCCCAGTACATCTTTTCATTCTTAAAGATAACCTTACCATGACCTTTTTTTTTTTTTTTAATATTCTTTATTGATTTCAGAGAGAAAGACAGAGGGAAAGATAGAAACATCAACAATGAGAAAGAATCATTGATCGGCTGCCTCCTGCATGTCCCCTACTGAGGATCAAGCCCACAACCTGGGCATGTGCCCTTGACTAGAACCAAACCTGGGACCCTTCAATCCACAGGCTGACTCTCTATCCACTGAGCAAAACCAGGTAGGGCTGCCATGACCTCTTGAAGCTGTGCATTGATTCTATGGGACAATGGAAAATTTGATCACACGCATAAGGCCTTAGCTCTCCTTTCTCCATGTTTTCCAAGTGCTCCCGTTGGGAAATATCCTTTGGGTTCTGCATCCGTGTATTACAAGCAAGCTTTAATAGTTGTTGTTCGTGTTAATGGACTACTGAAGTGAAAGAGTAATCCCCATGCTTTATAGCAGCTCTCTTTCTTACCTTGGTTTTCATGTCCCCATCATACTTGTAAGACTTGATTTCTCTCCTCGTCTTGTCTGAGAGCAGGTGGACCAAGACAATTCTTTGGAGGCACAATGAGTGATTTCTCTCTCTCGAGAGGCACATCTCTCTGGTCTGCCAGGGAATGAGAATCTAGACAGTCACACAGATCATTTTGAATGGTGCCAAGTAAATTTCACCAAATGCTCCTGTCGATAATTACAGCATGTCCCTGGGAAATGTGGTCATTTTCTTCTAGCATTAGGCTTTGGCTTATCCTGAGTGGCTTGACAATGACAGAGAGAGGACACAGGTAGCTTTCTCCATAGAAATCACAAAGAGGCCTCATGACCAGAGCAGTGAAAGGGTCGAAGGGCTTCTTTATCCTGAAATGTCGGAAACAGGATGGCAGGCACTCAGTAGGAACCACCTACAACTTACTGCCCTTTGCCAACAGCACACTCTCGCCAGCTATTCCAAAAATCAGGCAAAGTGGTGATTGCAGACCACCATTTTGTAATAAGCAGACCTGCGGGCTCCATCAGGCTGGGAAAAAACATCACCTGTTGTAGCTTTCAGAACAGAAAGCTCTGTGATAGGAATGCCAAGTCCTGAAAGCCGGTGGGTGAAGTCACCTCGGGGAGAAGATAGCATCCCAAAGTCTACCAAGGTTTTAGGCTCAACCACAAGACTGCTTTTTACATAAATAGGATCAAGTAGTCACATCAAAGGGCCGAGCGAGACCATGAACCACAATTATATATATATATTAAAAAAAAATCTCCAAGAAGAGCTGCAGGATGGCGAGAAAAGGCAGAGACGCAGAGGAGGGACACGCGGGCGGAGGGAGGGAGGCTGCGAGGGAGGGGAGAGGAGAAAGCTGAGCGCGGACGTCAGGAGCCCCCGCTCGGGCAGAGGCTGGCGGAGGCCCTGGGGAGCACGGGGCGTTGGAATAATTACCGGAGCCCGCGTGTGTGCGCGCCATCCTGTGGGTGTGGCGCCGAGCGGAGCGTAAACTCCGCTGGTGGGGCCGGCGCTCACTCCGGCTCAGCGGCCGCCGCCTGCCCGCCTGCCCGCCGTGCGGACCCGCAGCGCGCAGCCACCTGCACGATGGCCTCGTCTCAGGGGACGAATGAGCTCAAATTGGCCGACTGGATGGCCAGTCTCCCGGAGAGCATCCACTGCATCCCCCTCACCAATTTGGCCATCCCAGGTAGGGCGCCCGGCGCGCCGCCGCCCGCCCCGCCCTGCCCTCCGCCGCCGGGCGCTAAGTTGCACGGTGCCCGCGGGCGGGGAGCTGGTCCCGGGTGGATCTGGGGCCAGGCTGGCGCTGCCGGGGCCTCCGGCCTCCGGGCCTGTCCCTCCGCCCCGGGGACCCCGGCGCGGGCATCAAGGTGACTGCTGTCCGCCGGCTTGGAGCAGGCGGTGGCACAGGGGTGGGGCGGGAAGGGCTTGGCGGGGGGTTGGCCCCGGTGCCCCCTCCCTGGTTTTCTCCGCAGACTGGGAGGCAGGGGCGCATCTGGTGGTGGTGGGGGGGGGATTGGGGGAACCGTGCGTGGTGAGCGGAACCCGTGTCCTGAGGTCCGTCCAGCGCCTGGACCTCCGGCTCCATCCCTGTCACAGGATCCAGAGGGTTTGGCAGTTTTCTCCGTTAGAGCCACCTGAGCATTCCTTTCTGTTCGCGGTCCCCCGTCTCTGTCTCCGGTAAAGAGCGCTTCCCGAAGGGAGGAAAGTTGCGGGACCAGCGGCGTGGTCGCTGCCCTTGACCCGAAAGCCGCCAGGGCGAGGGGCGGGGGGCGCCGGTTGTGGTCTGGGAGGACCCGGGGGCCACCGTGGGAGCCGTGATCGCAGCGCTGCTAGCGACCATCAGACCGTTAGCTCCGGGTCCTGGAGACCAGCCTTTGGGGACCCTGCGTCGCTGCTCCGGAGGGGCCCTGCGCCGCGGTGGCGGAGGAGGGGTGGGATTCACAGAGGAGGTGGTTGTGCTGGTGCCCGGGGTCCCCGCAGCCCGAGAAAGGGAGGCAGCCCGAGGCTTCAGCCGGGGGCGCGCCTGGGACCGGAGGTCCGGCAGCCCCTGGCTCAGGTGTGCAGTGGGGAGGGCACCCAGGGCTGGGCCACGGCGACAGCCCGGACGCGGCCACACTTCCTTACCAATGTGACTTTCCACTCGGGCTGCAGGGATGGACGCCTAATCCTTCTTGGGTCTGCCTGGGGGACAAATTACAAATGACGCGCAGGTGGTCCACACCTGCCCTAGTTGAGCCCATTAGGTTCAACCTTCTGTTCTACCTCTTCTTGGTTTGCTCCACCCAGCGCCCCCTCTCAGCCACTGCGGGGAAACATAATTTCAAACAAACACAAACAAACAAACAAACAAACAAACAAACGCAAAAGAAGGGTTCTCTTGAAATCCCAAGAGGTTCTAACCAGCAGTGCTGGAATTGATCAGCAGCCTGAATCAATGGCCCTTAGTCAAGTGGATGTCTGGCTGCTCTGATAGGCGCAGGCCACACTCTGAGCGCCATGGGAAGGGGGAGTCTGTGTCCTTGTGTCCTTTGAGGGGTAGCTTCCCAAGAGCCTGGGTGTCTCCAGCTTAAAGAACAACCCCGCCTCTCCACCCGCAGTACTGCCACCTGGGCCAGCCTGGGGAGTGGTCTTTTGAAGGAAATGGTAGAAAGTACACAACTTCGTTGGCAAAATTCCACTCTCACTTCCACAGGAGTTCCTATCCTCTTTTTTCCTTTGGTTTTAAAGTTACTTTCACATGGCCTCTCCCTGAGCATTTCTGCACATATGGAAGGTGAGAGGGGCGAGCGATGATGGTCTTCCAATGTGTGACTGACTCTGCAGAGACAAAGGGGTGAAAGGCCTAAATTCACATTGCTGGTTCTGAGGGAAGCTATAGCACCTGTCTGAATCTCTTACGATTCTGTAATACTGACTTTTCAGAGCCCTGGTATGTGTACCAGATCACATGATCCTTCTCCAGACCCCACGAAGCAGGCACTGCTGGGGCTGTGAACTCCATTTCACACATATAAAAATTGCAGTTCAGTGAAGGCAAATGACCTGATATCAGTTCAGAGATCTACCCTAAAGCAGTTCTTAAGGAAGAGCTTCTAGGAATTTTGGAGCAAAATGCGTTTGTAACTGGATAATTCAGCAGCAACAAGTAATGACCAGGTTGAAGGGACAAGGAAACATGCACAGATAAGAACAGGGCAATTTCTCTTTCTCCCCATGGAACAAAGTCTCTGACCTTGATGTTCCTGCAAATTTAGAGACATAAGATGGCATTGGATGCCATGGGGATTTCCACCACTTTCCCAATCTCTATTATCAGTATTATGTTCCAAATGGACCCCCTACAGAGCTTCCCATCCTCATCCCCAATACACCTTAGAACTATTTCTTCAAATACTCCCCCCGCCCCACACCCCGGTTTCCCATGAGTCTGTAATGCAGATTTGGTAGAACCATACACATAACCCCAGGTCTAAAAATGAATTATGGTACTTTCCTGCATTACTCAGCTGTGAGAAGTTTTGGAGGAAAAAAAAAAAAGACAGTCAAACTTTGACAGTCAGAAAAGACTAATTGGAGACTATTAAACACTAATGGAATAATTGCCCTAAAATCATGCTAATAGCTTCCTGGCTGCTACATGTTTACTTGGCCGGTTGCTAGAGCTTGAATTAAGTAATTACCTCCACCATTTAAAGCCACTCCTGATGCCCCACACCAGTGTTCCTGTGGAAGGAACTGCTGCTCTGTCATCCTCAAAGCTTCAGGTTTTCAGCAGGTGACAGAATTGGAGCGTGAAGAGCTGCCTAATTAGGAGACCATCCACTTGGGGCAGTTAAACAGATGACTGGGGAGGGGCCATGCAAAGAACAGTGTGCAAGTGTGAGATACTCCCCAGCATGAGTCTATTGCTGGCCTCTCTAAACATTTCTTGGTGTCTGCCTCTGGAATGTTTTCATAACCAAATCCCTCAGTGGCGATTTTGCATCTAAATGGCCTCATGATTTGGTATAGACTGACCTAAGGCATCAAGTTCCTAATTGGCATTAGTAGTTTTGCTGTCATTTATCTTTCAAAGGGATGGCACTGTCAGGACACAGGGACAGGTACTCAGATCTCAGGCTTATGTATCACTTAGTCTTCTCTCTGATGACACCAAACAAGGTTTTCATTCATTCATACATGTTTGTTTAACAATCCCCCTGGCAGTCTGGGTGATGAATGATGTTTCCTCTCACCACAAGCAAGTGAGAGAAGATAAACAGGATGGCAGCAGGAAGACAAAGTATAAAATGCAGGTGAGGGGGAGTCAGATGAATTTCTGGTGGGCCTTTGGCATCTTTGAAGCAGAATTTTTAATTCTAGAGTCATGGTGGCTCCAGAACCATGGAGAAGAGATCCATCATGGGATCCAAGCAAGCTGCTGCCTAATCTGACTAGGGTGTTGGGGGTCTGGGTCTGTGACAGGAAGTCATTCTGTCCAGAACCTAAATGTTCAGGAAGGGTTTCTTTCCCATGGGAAGAGTCTATTATGCATTTCTGATAAGTACTGAAAGTCTTCTTCACACCGTAGAGTAAGTTGTGTTTTCTTGGTGTTGGAGGAGTTCATATAGAGGATGTGACTGTCAGTTGACCCAAGAGTAGGACTCAGGCAATCGGAGTCTCATCCTTGAAATATTCTTTCTGCTCATGTTCCATTCCCACAGCCAGAGCCATTTTCAAGGTCATAGCCTTTGAAGAGCGATGTGTTGTTGGGCCGTCTAGATGGTACATGTGGCTGAACCCAGTTGAGGGACTTAACCCAGTTAAGTCCTCTGTACAAGCGTTTAAGAGTGTGGAAACCTCATCTTGTGGCTGTCCAAGACAAGCCTGGTCTCTAAGTTCCTTGCTAATGAAAGCTGCCACCTACCCATCGGGAGTGAGCTGCCTCTTTCTTCGCTCTCTCCTCGCCCTCTGGGTTCCTTGGCCAATTTGTGAACCAGCAGTTGAACAGGAATTATTGATTATGCTTTACATAGAAACACAGAGATGCTTCGGGAATCAGTAATTGCACCTGTCAATTTTACTCATTGCTTACAGAAAATGCCAGCACTGATGAAAAAGAACAGTGATACTTAGGCAGGGAAATTAGACATCCCTACAGCTTTGATTTCTATGTTCTTATGTTTGCTTTTATTAGTTTTTAATTTCTTCCCTTGCAGCAATCTCTTCTCATCGTCAGTTTTCCTGGAGTCAACTGTCTTCTTCCTTCTCCGTGTAATTCACTATTTCTATTTTGATTGGAGTGAGACCTTCTACAGACAAATCTGGAACTGGATCTGATTGTGCAAATTTCTTTTAAAAAGCTGGGTTTTGTGTGTGTGTTTTCCACCTTTTGGTTAAGATAGTTATATGGAAGTTAATTTTTCAAAGCACTCACTAAGCCACAGAAATGTTTAGGATGAATATCTTTCTTCTTGGCCTTTCCAATTTCCCATTTTGCTTTTGTTAAAGAGGAAAATTAGAAGAATATCTGGAACGTAATTTATTCTACTAGGACTTTTTTTCCTGAGCAGTTGAGTTGAGTCACCAATTATTTTTAATCAATATAATAAGGTGATGCTTATGTCATTTTACATACAGTTCATGAAGAATTTTCTTGTGTACACATGTGCTTTGCCAATGTTCCGTCAATAATCAAAGGCCTTGCTACTCAGAGTTGGGCCAGAGGCCAGCAGCACAGGAGCTTGGTAGAAATGCAGCCCCTCAGACCCCTCCCCTCAGGATGATTTAATCGTGATTTGCCTTCTAACAACATCGCCAGGTGATTTACATGCAGGTTTAACATTAGGGACTGCTGCTTTGAGGGATCTCTCAGGGAATCCTTGTTGTAAGTGACAGAGCCAAGTTTAAATTTGCATCTTTGACGAAACTCTTCCTATTGGACCGTGCAGTCTCCCTGTGAGTGTTCAAATTCACCACCAGGCTTAGAGCCAGAGCCCTCTGTTTGCTCAAGGCTAATGGCCCAGGTTGGGAACATTTCTGTTAACTGACATTACAGTTTATCATGCACCTTGTACGATAGATGTGATTCAGTTGCTACTTAAGTGTTCAAATTAGGTCCTGTGATAAATGTAAAACATTTCCCTTCATTTCCTTGGAGTCCTGCTGCTCATTGACATCAGCCCATCAGCAGCACTTAAATCCACC